CCTTCCTTCCGAGGAGTGGCTGGTGGGTTTGAACCGCCAGCCGTCTGGTTAGCAGGCAAGTGTCTTAGCCACTATGCTACCAGAGATACTGCCTCGGAAACCCAAGGAGGAGTCCCTATGAGTCAGGGCCAACTTGACGGCACATGACAACAAGATAAAACAGTGGTGCACAGCTTTCATTCCCATGAGTTCAGTTCATTGGGTAGATTCCGACTCATAGTGACCCTTTAAGATAGAGCAGAACTGCCCCAGAGAGTCTCCAAGTCTGGAAAGCTGTCTTTATGGAAACAGACTACCTCATCTTTCTTCCAAGAAGCAGAGCGGTAGGTGCTTTTGAACCGCTAATCTTTGGTTAGCAGCCGAATGCTTTAACCGCTAGGCCACTAGGAGTTGGTGAACGTTAAATGTGAAACCTCTCAAGGGCCCCAGCCAGTTCTGCCTGGTGCAGCTGGACAGGAGAAAGATAAATTAGTGAAAAAATTAGTGGAGGTGTTGGGCGGGAGATTTTAATTTCAGCTTCTAAGACAGCAAAAATTAAGTCTCACTGGACCTTCACCTCATTTGTAAAATAAAAGGACTGCCCTAGATGATCCCTGAATCTCCTTGCACATCTAAAATTTTGAAATTCTAATAAATTCTGGGTCTAAAACAATGAAAAAATTCTCATACTCTTGGTCAGAATGAAGGAACAAGTAAAATCCCAAATGATGAAATTATTAATAATTAAAATAAAATTTAGTTAGTAAATGAGTTTAATATAGATTCTAATACTAAAATGCCTTTAAATAAGAGCACTAAGTTTTCTGCCCTCCTTTCTCAAGGCAGCTTTGGTAAATCTGGAGTTCGGGAGCCCAATCCTGAGAGGCAGCTCTAAAAGGACCCAGCCTTCTGGGTCTGCTTCTGGAGCCAGAAACTAAGAGCTCTCAAGCCATTATTTGCATCTGAGCATTCTAAGGTTAATTTCAGTAACAATGCAGAAGCCAAAGGTACCTCTCCTCTTGCTTGTTAGCTTGCTTGGAATGAGCAAAATATATTTATACAGGATTACCTACAGAAAGGAGGTTGGCCCACTGTCAGATAGGGATGTTTTAAGATAGGGACTAAGTCCTCTTCCTTGAACTTCGTAAACTTCCATCCTCTATGTTTTGTTAGGAATCACTTTTTGGAGAGATTCAGTTGCTTCAGTTTCCTATCTCCCTCACCTCTTTTCTCTGCCTCTCTTTCCTTGTCATACTCATTCACGTTGTAGAGTAAACTGAGAATCATTTCGTGGAACCTGAAGCAAATTATTCAACTCCAGGGTCCCAGTAAACCCTATTTATCTCTGCATGGAGTTGCCTTCTAAGGATTGGCGTGAGAGCTTTCAATTAACCTCTGACAAGGCGAAACTGCACTCACTCAACCCAGACGCTTTGGCATCAAAGCTCCTCATCCTCTTTTCTCCCAATTGCTTTGATTTGCAGACAAAGGTCTCCCTCCCTCCAGATTTGGTTGCATCTGCAGGTTCATTTCGAATATCTAAACTTCCTAAAATATATACACGGTTCCTGCGGGGGCGCACACCCTCGCGTGCGCGCACACACACTCCTTCGCGGGAGTACTCGAGCTCTGCTGGGCTGGCTCCCAGTTCAGAACACATTCCATTCTTCGTGCTCGGGCACACCCCTCCGCGGTGGGGATTGGTCGAGCCGACCCCCGCCTCGGCGAGGCTCAGCTCCTAAGAGGCCCAGACGCCTGCCAATCCCCACGGGCTGTCAAAACAAGTCTCCCTCTCTGTCACAACAGATCCGAGTGGAGGCCGCTGCCGCCACCGCTGCACTCCCTCGGGCTGCCGCGCCGCTGTCCGCGGGCAGGTGGCGGATACCCCGGGTCGCGGTCGCCAGCTCTGGCCACCCTCTGGCCGCGCGCGTCCCGGCTTCGCAGGCCGCGCGGCCAGGCGCCGGGTGCCCCCTTTGTCTGGCGCATAGCAGGGGTTGGCATCACATTTCTCTCCCTCTGGATCCTGCTCACATCCCTGCCCCACCCCGTGGCCGTGCCCCCACGCCGGACTGCCGGCCTTCTGGACCAAAAGCCTGCGGACATCTCCACCCGAGCGATGCCTCCTGTCCAGAAAGTTGCCGCCGCCGCCGCCTCTGAGCGTTGAAACAAAATCTGGCGGGGCTGCCTTCGGGTGCAGAAGCGCGCCCGCGTCCGGCGGCTGGACTCCGCTACCGGGCGTGCCATCTCCCCCCGGGAAGCCGGACACGCGCTCTGCCATGGCTGAGGGTGCGGCGGGCAGAGAGGGTCCAGCGCCGCCCGACGCCGCAGGGAGCGAAGACGACCCCCGGGTGGGCCCTGACGCCGTCTCTAGAGACGGCTTGGCAGTGGGCGTTGCAGGCCGGACGAGAGACCTTCGTGGCGGGGTCGCGCTGCCGGGCGCCGCCGGAGCCCCAGCCGACGGCGAGGCCAGCCTCCTGGAGGCGGTGCGGGCTACCCCCCGGCGCAGTAGCATCATTAAGGTAAGCGAGGCCACGCAGTCTCCGGAGCGTAGTGGGGCTGGCGCGGGTGTCGGCGGCCCGGGCAGGATGCTAGGTCCCCGGAGGCATCTCGGGCTCAGTATTGTTTTCTCCTTCACACCCTCTTCAATACCAAACCTTCCTCCCTTGTCCGGAGGTTCCCAGACTCAGCTCTTGGCGGTGAGAAGCAGAAGTGACTTTTTTTCCGCCCTGACGGGCAGCCGAGGAAAAGTTCCGCTCAGCGCCCTCCGAGTGTTGATGGATGCCTTTCCTCATTTCCCTGAAAGCTCTAAACCGTTGATGCAGGGAGGAAGGGCGCACTCAGGATACGTGCAGACACCCCTGGACCGCTGCGCACTGCTCGCTAGCGAAGGGTTAGCTTTTCTTCACAGAACAGGAAATGCATAGCTTACTCTCAAGTGAAAGAAAAAAAAAAGAAAGAAAAAATTCCTCTCCAGACTGAAACGTTCCCGAAATTCTAGAAACACAAACTTTCCCGATAGGCAGAGTTTTCAGTGAACCCTTGCAGCAAAGTAAAGAGCGGTGGACACCATAGTTTCTGCCATGCGGAAAGCGCAACCGGAAAGCAGCCAATCCCTGAAGCCTCATCCCTTGACCTTGTGGTTTCCTCCATATCCAGGAAAAAGCTTTCTGACCCTCTAACCACCAGAACAGGATTGCTTTCCATCTGTTTGGCAAGGAATCCGCAGCCCCCACCCCCAAATATGTTTTCGTCTTCCTTCCATTTCAGGCTTGTTTCCTCAGTTCGGGATTTCATTTTTTGAGGGTCATGACTTTGAGTTTAGGTCTCCTGGAAGTAAAAGCCCTCTTACTGACTCTGGAAAAGGGCCTCTTAGCATAAATGCATGTGGGTAATAGTGTGCATGTGAGATTAAAATCAATTTTGGCACCGAAGCCTGACTCTCAGAGTCAGTACGAAACTAGAAACTACTTATAACAAAAGCTATGATGATAATGAAAGACTGACTTGGAACTACTGTTCAGCTCTCTTGGTGTGCAGGTGCATTCACAACCCCTGTTCAAATTTAAGCTGTGTTACTGCGACATGAGTGTCTCTTTCTCAAGCTCTAAACTGGAGCGAGAGCACCAGTGTGGGTAGACTGTGCCTATGGCACATCCACCTAGCTCCAAGTATGGTCTAGGCTTTTTCCCAACACTGACACATGAAAGCTGAAAACCAACAAGGAGATTTCTATATTAAAAGAAGAGTGGGTGGTAGTTGCAAATGACTTGTAGTAGTTTCTGTTATTTTGTGGCTTTTAGATTATTTGAAAAGAAATGTTCACTGGGTGTGAATTTGGATAAAAGGGAAATAATCATTTTTCTTTAAATCCAGGTGTCAGAAAAGCATATTGTTTTGAAACTTAAAAACATAGCCATTAGAAAGGAAACATGTACATTTTGCATTCTAAGACGTTGATACTATATGTGATCCTGTATTTGAAAACAGGCATTGAAAAGATAAATAAAAAAAGCAGTGGGTTCTGTAATATTGTAAAAAATAAAAATAGTAGAGTATAAGCACTGTACAAATTTTTGCAAATAAATTTGCCATTTTAAATTGTGCTATATTCTCAGAAGAGTTGGTAGAGAGTAATGCTGGCTTCCTGTTTTGAAGTTTCTTTTTGTACCAAAAAAGGAGGGAGACAAGAGTATCAACTTGACCTTTTCTCTATATAGTAGAAAATTAAATATTTAGTAAATGACCTATAATATTGAAAGATACTAGAAAATAAATTATTATTATTATTTCAAATGAAGTCTTACTGAAAAGTAATACATGCTTAAGTCTTCCAGCCACTCCACACCCCTGGTCTCATAGTCTACCTCCATAGATGAACTACTTTCTTACACATCTTATATTTTTTGTAAATATGCTGTGCAGATCTGTTGTTGTTGTTGTTACGTGCTATTGAGTCAGACCCGACTCATAGTGACCCCTCCTTGGGTTGCTGAGGTAGTATCACTAGAGAAGTAGATTGCCCCATCTTCCTTCTGAGGAGTGGCTGGTGGGTTTGAACCACCAGCCTTCTGGTTAGCAGTCAAGTGCCTTAAGCACTATGCTACCAGAGCTCCCGGGCAGATATAAACATATATATTTATATATGCCTTAGGTGAACTATTGAAGCTCATGATTTATATGATAGAATTTAGGCTGGAGTTCTATAAGCCTCATATCTTCAAATGTTTTCAAACATTTTTGATACCTTAGAGGACTGCCTGGTCATTGTGGTCAATCAGATAATCTTCAAGGTAACCAAGTAGGTTATTGATTGGCAGCAATGCTTGAGTCTGTTTTGAAGCCTTCCTTCCCTTCCAGTGGGATGGGCTCTGTTCCATTCCCTCCACAGATGAAGGACCTTTCTGTTGACATCTTGAATCTGCTGCTCCGTGGTTTGTTCACTTCGGTGAACTAAACATGAGAGCTTTTGAAAAAGGCTAGATCATTTGAGAGACAAATAACACATATTCTGTCTGGAGAGAAAATGCATTCTACACATTTTGACAGTTATTTTTACTGGCATTAAAACATACAACACAGAAAGATTTTAGGATGTCTATATTAATCAAAATAATTAATTATTGTTCCTTATATCCATACCATAGTAATAATTGATATTCATGATCATAATCCTGAGCTACTAAAAGCTTGTGAATTATCAAATATTGTTTTCAGCTTAATTTACAGTATTGTTTCTATTCTAATTATTTGAATGCTAATTCTCTATTAACTCAAATATTGGATAAATCAGAACAGTGCATTCCTCTATCTTGCCAAAAAACAGACTGTCTTGTATATTAAATAAAAGAAATGTTTTCAGTAAATCTACCCTCCTTAATTTGTGAAAACATGTGTTTAGTTGAGAAAACAATTTCCTTCTGAGCTGATGAAAACAATGACGATATTTATCATTATACATCTTCTGAAAACCTTTCTAATGTTATTATGTTTAGTCTCTTCTATGCCTGGTCCTGAACTTTAAAAAATTTAACGTATGAGTTAAACTGGGTTCTCTTTAATCTTTCGGTGTTTCCCCATTCTTTTCTGTGTATTTATTGATGGTATTGGCATTAGTAAATTCTGCAGTTTCTTGTAAGTGTGTTATTATATACCACAGTCATGCAATAGAGTTCATCTTAATTGCCTCTCCATGACTTGTGTTTTGAAAGGACAGTAAGTTATACGCAGGACTGCTAAATTCCAACAATTGTGTACTATTCTGCTTTTAAATATTTCTAATTAAGAAATTAGACCGATTCTCTATCTGGTACTTGATGTCAAGTATATAGGGTTTAAAATATTTAATATTAAACAACATAGTGTATAGTTCCATAATTTTGTAGTGTTCTAGAATTAGAAAGCAGTGTAGCTTAATCTTTATAGTCAATTGTGGGAACTGACATACACACATGTTTTTAAAAGATCAAGTGCTTTTTCTCCCATTATGTGAAACATGTTGAAGGGTTCTACTTTTTCTCATTTCCTTTTGATTCTACTTAAATATTAATTCTCTAGGCAAATAGTACAAATTATCAGTTGGATCTCATGGACATGAGTATGAAGAATAAAGATAGCAGATGTAAATAAGAGCCTGAAATCTTCACCAAAGCAGTTAAAGTAATGGCTTTAGTGTTGTCCATGTTTCATTACTTTATATCGTGGCCAATCGTATCCTGTCATGCTCACTGGAGAGGTGGAGGAGTGGGTTTCTGAGCTGCAGCAAAGGTGTGCTTTGGATGCCCATTGAGCCACATCAGAAGTATGACTCTCCTCAAAGAGGAAAGGGGAATAGAATCTCCATTTTTAAGTGCCTTTCCAGCAGCTCAGAGAAAGAAGTAATAATGGTCTGCTTCCATAAGATTACAGACTTGGAAACCCTATGGAGCAGTTAGTTGTACTCTGTCCTGTAAGCTCACTATGAGTTGGAATTGGCTTGACAGCAAGAGGTTTTGTTTGGGGTTTGGATAATAAGTAGGGCAGTGAGCTAAGAGCGTTCATATATCACTTAATCCTCACAGCAAACCCTCCAAAGTAGGAGAGGGAAGCACAGAGAGCTGTGGGATAAGTGTAGAGTTAGGATTCAAACCTGTGTGCTTCACGCTGGAGTGTGTCCTCTTCCTATACTGTCTCTTAGATGTAGGAATCCACAATACATGCACCCTTTCTAGGTTAGAAACAACCTGAACATGTAAGAGGGTGGAAGAGGAGTCTCAATCTTGGGACCCAAAACTTATATGGAAAATGACCCTTTCTCCTCATTTCCTCCCTTCCAACTTCAGAACACCTGGAGTGCATTGACTCAAGAATGAGATTGTAAACTTTGTCCACTTTGTTAGACTTGCACTGCGTTTTGAAAGGGAGAACAACTTGGCAGGTGCTGTACTTGGAGTTTGTACATGGAACTCACACCTGTTGTTTTATACCAGGCTTGCTTCTCTTGCGTCCCTGCAGAGAGTTGAGTTTGTGGAGGGTTGTATTCTTATAAACTGATAACAGAGAGAATAAGAACCTGGGTCATAGGAATATTTACTCTTTTAGAGGAATGATGAAATATGGGTTTCATCATTTAAGTTGGAGCTCTGAAAGCATTTTTTTACAGACACTTATGAAGGGAAGTTAAGTATAATCGAAAACTTATTTAAAATTGTAGGCACACTGAGTTGTACAGGGTTTTGTAGATTGGCCTGGGAACTAATCAGTATTTATGGACTCTTCCCGTCCCCCCTTGTAGAAGTATGTGTTAAATGTTCCCAGTAATCAATTTAGGGGTGAATTTGGGAACAACAACAATCTGATTGAAAGCGGAGCTGGTCAGTCTTTACCACAAGGGGTACTGTGAGTGTGCACTGGTGGCTATAATTGGGTGGCTATAATTCTTCTGAGGTATGATTCAGCTGTATCAATAGCACTGAACCTCTTAGGTGGATTTTTTTTTTTTTTTTTATCCCAGCGGCTTCAGTCAGAGTGTTTACTGTCTCTG